CCGGAGGAGGAGGAGGAGGAGAAGGAGGAGAAGGGTACCGATATCGCTTCCCCTCCCTCGTTGTCGAATTGTGGGGCCTCCCGCGAGGCCCTCGTGGCCACGGCTGGCTTCGCCTGGGGGTCCTGGTCGGAGCGCATCCCAGGAGAGGCGCGCGAGGAGTGGCGGTATCCGTACTCTCTGGCTCTCCTCCGCGCTCGCGCCGCGGGTCCCGCCCCGAGCCCTCGAGCGATCGGAACGCCTCGAGCGGCGGCGCGCCTCCGCTTCTTGGGGCGGGCCGGGCCTGGCCGCACCGTGGACCCGGGATCGGGCCGTGGCCTCGGGCAGCGCCAGCGGGTGGGGAGGGGCCTTCCTGGCCCGCGCCCCCGGGCGGACGAGGCGCCCGCCTCGGAAGAGCTCTGCTGGGCGCACGAGTGGCCCTTCGCGGGAGGTTCTCCTTCGGAGGTGGACAGAAACCCCAACAGTGACACGTCGATTAGTGAATTGTCCGTTTTCGGTTCTCGGGAGGGCGCCGTGGCCGTTATTTTCCAGGCTTGCGCCCGCCAGGTTTGGGCCTCGTGTCGTTTTCACGAAACCACGTTTTACGAAAGGGGGGTCTGTCCATCCTCGATTCCTGGAGGTTTGGGTTCGCTCGGACGTGTGCATTTTTCCTCCGGCGAGGACCATCGAGGAGCATCCTTGATCATTTGGCGAACAAACCACGCACGAAACCGAAAAAAAACACAGGGAATGGACGTCCGAGCGATGGCGAGGTTTGGGGGGGGGGGTCCCTGGACAGCCTGGAGGTGCTCCCGCCTCGCGACGCGGTCGGGCAGCCGCGCCTCGCGGAGAGAGCGTTCCCGGGGCGGTGCCCGAGCCGCTGCGAGCGGTCGGCGGGGGCCCGGGAGCTGGCCCGAGGACCAAGCGCCCGAGGAGGGGGACCGATCGGGGGTCGAGGGCGTGGACTCCTCCTCCTCCTCCTCCTCCTCCTCTTCCTCCTCCTCCTCCTCCTCCTCCTCCTCCTCCTCCTTCTCCTCCTCCTCCTCCTCCTCCTCCTCCTCCTCCTCCTCCTCCTTCCTCCTTCCTCCTTCCTCCTTCCTCCTTCCTCCTCCCTCCTCCCTCCTCCCTCCTCCCTCCTCCCTCCTCCCTCCTCCCTCCTCCCTCCTCCCTCCTCGAGGACCGAACGCCAGAGGAGGGGAGGACCGAGGGTCCAACTTGTTTTGTTTGGGCGGCGTCGTGCGCGTGGACGACTCCCCTGCTGGTGGCGCTCCTTGACGGGGCTCGTGTCGACTCCTCCGGTCCGATGCGACTCGGTTTCGATGGCTTCCGATTCCGAATTGATTCGATTTGGGATTCCGATTTGGGCTCCGATGTCTTGTTGGAGGCATACTAGCTTGCCGATTTCCGCCGATTCGACTTTTCCCGACTCGGCTGCCGATTTTCGCCAATCCGACGCATTTCGATCGCCGATCCGATTTGCCGATTCGATTCTGGGCTCTCCTGCCTTGACATTGCTCGGGAATGTCCCTCTACAGGAGGAATGTTCAAAAATGGTACAAGAAAATAGTCTGGGGACGATGTTTCTACTATGTTTGATTATGTTTGAGTCTGTGTTGTCTCTTTTTTCATTTTTCACCCAAAATCCGCCTGTAGAGGGGCATGCCCGACCAAATCCTTGACATCAGGACTGGACCTAAACGGTGTTTTGGCAATATCGTGGGCCGTGTTGTGTTTCGTTTTGTTTTGCGTGAATGGCGAAACGAAGACAAAACGAGGGAGAGCGAAAAACAAGTCGAAAACGAAAAGCACCGTTTAGGTTCAGCCCTGCTTGACATTGCCTGGGTTTGCTGCTGAGGCGCCGACAATGGCCTCGGCATCACCCCGCCAATGGGCTGGCGCTCGTGGAACTCTTACGGCAGGAGGTCACCCTCATCATGATCATCATCAGCACCAGCATCATCATCATCATCATCATCATCATCATCATCATCATCTTCATCATCATCATCATAATCATAATCATAATCATCATTATTGTAGTGGCCTTCGGCCAGTGCCGCCGATCCGGGTCGCTCGGGGTTATTCTCCAGACGCAGAAATTATGGGCGCACACTCAAACGCACACACACAGTCACACCACTTAACCTGCGCCGCAGACATGCGCACACAGCATCACCCACACACACATACTAGTTGGGAAACGCTCCTGTAGTACTAGTAGTAGTATTAGTAGTAGTAGTAGTAGTAGTAGCAGTAGTAGTAGTAGTAGTAGTAGTAGTAGTGTAGTAGTAGTAGTAGTGGTTGTGGTAGTAGTGGTAGTAGTAGTAGAGGCCTCGTTCCGCGGCTTCTCTCGACTTCCCGCGGTCTCTCTCAAGTTTCGAGCACGCGGTGAGTTTCACGATATATGTGTGTGTATGTACGCGTGCATGCATGTATGCATGCATTGATCATGTGTGCCTGTGTGTAGGTACGTATGTATGTATGTATGCTTGTGCGCGTATGTATGTATTTAGTTTGTATGTATGTTTGTATGTGTGTATGATAATATGTGTGTATGTGTGTGAATGTAAGTATGTATGTCTGGAAGATTGTTTTTCTATGTATGCAAATGTGTTTAAATGTAGGTATGTATGCATGTGTGTATGGATGTGCGTTTGAAGAGCGAGGATGTTTCAAAGAAGAGGCACTCGGTGACGCGATCGTTGAGGGATAGGAGTGAGGTCGCAGAGGAGGAGGAGGAGAATGAGGAAGAGGCGATAACTTGAAGGAAAACGATGAGACGGAGGACATCCTGCCGGTGGCGCCCTGGGCGGTGCCGCGGAAGAAACCGGGGGCCTGCCGGAGGCAGTCTGGAGGCCTCTGGGGAGCTGTTTTGGGGCCTCTTGGAACCTCTTTTGGGCCTCTTGTGGGCTTCTTGGGGCCCCTTGGGGGTCTCTTGGGGCCTCCTGGGGGCCTCTTGGGGCGGAAAGCTCGGTTCTTTCGGTTCGTGGTCCCCCTCTTGGGCCCCTCTTGGGGCTCTCTTGGGGCCTTCTTGGGCTGTCCAGAGGCCCTCTTGGGCCGTCTTGGGGCCCTCTTGGGCCGTCTTGGGGCTCTCTTGGGCCGTGTTGGAAGCATCGTGGGCCGTCTTGGGACGGACTTGGGGGCCTCTTGGGCCGTCTTCGAGCGTCGGACGCCCGAAAAGGCAAGAACGCTAAAAACCCTGAAAAAACCAATGAAAATCAACGATTCTGGCCTCTTGGGGCCCTCTTGGGAGGCCTCTTGGAAGCTTCTTGGGGCGTCTTGGAGACACCTTGGGCCGTCTGGAGGCCATCTCGGGCGTCTTGGAGCGATTTTTCGGCGACTCGGGGCCCTCTTGGAACCCCTTGGGGGTCTCTTGGGCCCCCCCCCTCCTCCAAAGCGCCGGAAAAAGCGGAGCATGGCGCCCCCCCCCCCCTCTATCTTCCACTCCCCCGGAGCGGCCCCGGGGTTCGCCGGAAACTCGCACCCCCCCCCCCCCCCCCTACCCCCCCTTCCCCGGCAGAGCCACCCCGGCGACCCCCCCAGAGGCTGAAGCTCAGCCTCGAGGCTGTAGCTGAGACTCCTTGAAACTCACACGCCGGATCGGCGGATTATTGTCATCAGCATCAGCATCATCATTATCAGTATCATTAGCATCATCATCAGCAGCAGCATCAGCATCATCGCATCGTCAGCATCATCAGCAGCAGTAGCATCCTCAGCATCATCGTCATCATCATCAGCATCATCAGCATCGCCATCATCATCGTCACCATCATCAGCATCATCAGCATCATCAGCAGCAGCAGCATCAGCATCATCAGCATCACTATCACCGTCATCAGCAGCATCAGCATCATCATCATTGTCATCATCCTCATTATTATCCTCATCATCAACACCACCATCAATATCACCATCATCCTCAGCAGCATCATCATCAGCATCACCACCGTCAAGGAGGCAATCCTCGTAGTCTGCATGCCGGTTCATGCGTCGCCGCGGGCCCCGCCGCGCGCTGCCCCCCTTCCGACGCAGGCCGCGCGCCCGCACCGACCTGCCCGCACGTCGCTTCGGCGGCAGGTGGACGGCTGGGCCCGCTGGCCCCCGCGCCGCCGCAGAAGCCGCGCGCGGGGCGCTCTTGGCGGCGCACGCTGCCGGCGGCCTCGCGGCGTGCCGGCTTTGTGGTCGTCTTTCTCTCCGAGCAGGCAGCCGACCGCAAGCCCTCAGCGCTCCGGGTGCTGCACGGAGCAGTTCGGGTCGTCGGGGCCGCTCTGCGTGCGCCCGTGGGCGGCTTGCAGCACGAGACCTTGCCAGGAGCGGCCCAGCCTGGGCTCCAGGCAGCACTTTGCGACGCGGCACGGGAGTCCGCATGCTGCGGGCGGCGGAGGGGCTGCTTCGCGCAGCCATCGTCGAGCTCCACGCGAAGGCGGCACCGCCTGCGCGGGAGCCTGCGGCTGCGGCGCCCTCTGGGAGGCGCCGTCGGCCTCGCGGGCGCGCAGGGCGTTGCGCCGGGACCTCGCCCAACGCGTCGGGCGGCGACGGTGGCAAGCAGGGGCAGCAGGACGGCGACGGCGACGGCGCGGCGGCAGTGCAGGACGGGCGGAGACCGCGGCGGATGGCGTGGGCCCTCGGCCCGCGCTGGCGTCAACGGCTGGCGATGCCCGCGGCGACAAGGCGGTCGTCGGCGGGGGCGCGGCTGGAGCTGAGGGAGCGGGTCTCCCGTTGCCAGCGGCGGAGGCCGACGACGCTGCCATGGACAGCGAGGAGGAGTCCGTCGACGCCCGCGGCGACGACTCCCGGGCCGGCGGCCTGCGGCGAGGCGCGGCGGATGCCGCAGGGGCGGCGAGGGCGACGCTCTTGCGGCGGGTGGGCGAGTCGAGGCGGGCGGGTTGGCACTCCTCACCCGCACCCTGGAGGCGGATCGGGCGAGACGATTCGGCGCCGCTGCTGTCGGCCGGGGACGCGGCGGTCGGTGGCCAGCAGGATAAGAGCGTTGAAGAGACCCCCCACAGCCTGGGGGCGTGGCATCCGCAGGAGCACTGCTACCAAATCGATGGCATCCTCGTCGTCATCATCATCAGCATCATCATCATCATCAGCAGCAGCATCAGCATCATCAGCAGCAGCATCATCAGCAGCATAACCATCAGCATCATAGTTTGTATTAGCATCCTCATCAGCAGCATCATCATCATCAACATCAGCAGCAGCAGCATCATTGTCCTACTCATTATCGTCATCATCAGCAGCAGCATCAACATCAGCATCAGCATCAGCATCATCATCATCATCATCATCATCATCATCATCATCATCATCATCATCATCATCATCATCATCATCATCATCATTAGCAGAAGCAGCATCAACATCATCACCAGTATAATCAGCTTCATCATCACCGTCATCAACATTAATTATCGCCACCATCGCCATCATAATCGTCAGCACGATCGTCAACATCATGATCATCATCACCATCATCATCAGCATCAGCGTCATCATCATAAGCATCATAAGTGGCATCATCATCAGTGCATCGTCATCGTCCTCATCGTCCTCATCGTCATCGTCATAGCCGTCAGCACCAACATCAGCGCCATCGTCGTCATCATCAGCATCCTGATCATCATCAGCAGCAGCAGCATCATATTTATCATCATCACCACCATCATCATCCTCATCCTCACCCTGATCCTCGTCCTCATCCTCACCCTCATCATTCCCTCCTCATCTCCATCCGTCTCATCATCATCCTCCCCCCAGGGTGAACCAGAGCCTCATGGAGGGAATCATGGACGGCATGGTGAGACGCAAGTGGAAGGTGGACGGAGTTCCGACCTCCCTGTGTGACTTGGAGGGGCGAGGAGGGAAGGGAGAGGGGGGAGGGGAATAGAGAGAGAGAGAGTAGAACGCGTGGGGGGGAGGGGGAGGGAAGGGAGGGGTACTGCGACGTGGGTCTGGACGACAGCTGGCAGAAGTGCAGCAAGGGAACGTACAACTACCACGACGACGACGGGAGGCCTGTGGTCAACTTGAAGAAGTTTCCAAGCATGCAAGCGATGACCGCCAGAGCGCATGGTCTTGGGTTGAAGGCAGGCTGGTACGGAAACAATTGCATATGTTCCGAAGGAAAAAAGCCGACCAAAGCGATGTACGAGAAGGACGTGGAGGCTTTGACGGCCTTTGGATTCGACTCCCTGAAGCTGGACAAGTGCGGCTCGATGCAAGACCTGAACCTCTGGGCGCGCCTCCTGAACCAGACGGGGAGGCCGGTCATGATCGAGAACTGCCACTGGGGGTTCACCGTCCCCAACGCCACGTGGTGCCCCTGGCACTTCTTCCGCACGAGTGGGGACATCCGGGCCCAGTACGGGAGCATGGTGAGCACGCTGCTGACCACGGTGAGGTGGGCGAAGGCAGGCCTGTCCCGGCCCGGCTGCTGGGCTTACCCCGACATTCGGGGGCTGCTGGCGGTCCCTGGTCAAAGCAGGGTCACCCCAGGGGTCCCAGGGAGGCCCAGCTGGTCTCCAGAGCACCCCATCACGAGGCACAGGTGGCTCCTCCTCCTCTTCCTCCTCCTCCTCCTCCTCCTCCTCCTCTTCTCCTCCATCCCTTTTCCTTATAAATAACTTTTCCATGTCGCACCTCGAGGCAAGTTTGTAGGGCGGGCAGGGCGTGTCGCCTGAGACTTCCTCACCATTTATGATTCTGAAGCTGAAAAAGTGGCAACAGCTTCATGGATAAAGAACGGGTCGTTTTCAAAATCTGGCTCTCGCCTTAGCGCGGCGCACAGTCGTTTTTTGATTGTAAGAGTCTCACGGATTGAGGGCGGGTGGGTTTCAAAACGTGGTTCTGGCCTTAGCGCGGCGCACAGTCGTGTAAAAGGTTGCAACAAAGCTCACGGGTTGAGGGCGGTTCCTTTTCAACATGTGGCTCTCGCCTTAGCGCCGCTCACAGTTGTTCACACAATGTTCAAGAGTTTCACGGATTCCCATCATCAACGGATTCAGGATTATGCGGGTGCAACAGTTAAGTTGATTCGATGTGTTGAAGTCCTAGGAATGGCGTTCTGGCACGATTCAGGATCGTCAAGACGCAACGATCAGGTTGATCCGTGGCGTTGGAATCCCAAGAACAATGGTTTGGCATGTTTCAGGGTCTTCAAACGGGTGTCTTCTAACGGGGCAGTTCCATCAATGGAGATGAACCGTAATAGGGGCTTATGAAGAGTGAGCTTGGAATGAGGGTTTACTCCAGCATCGTTGGTGCCTCTTGGATTTACACTGGTCCTCCTCCTCCCCCTCCTCCTCATCCTCCTCCTCATCTTCCTCCTCCTCCTCCTCCTCCTCCTCCGCCTCCTCCTCCTCCTCCTCCTCCTCCTCCTCCGCCTCCTCCTCCTCCTCCTCTCCTCCTCCTCCCCCTCCTCCTCCTCCTCCTCCTCCTCCTCCTCCTCCTCCTCCTCCTCCTCCTCCTCCCCTCCCCCTCCTCCCCCTCCCCCTCCGCCCCCTCCTCCCCCTCCTCGAAGCAGGCTGGGACACACCTCGGGCCAGGACCCCTCCCCAGCAGCGCCCGGGGCGTGATGCAGGTCGGCTGCAGGCACGGGCCCGGCGGCCCGAGCGACCCTGGCATGAGCTACAGCCGAAGGAGAGGAAACGCCAGAGACATGCACTCCTTGGCGCTCCGCGCGGACTTCTTGGATCCGCGCTGGGCCCCGCTGGCTCCTCCTCCTCCTCCTCCTCCTCCTCCTCCTCCTCCTCCTCCTCCTCCTCCTCGTGCTCCTCTGGGTCACCTAGCTGGCGCTCCGCGCGGAGTTCTCGGCTCCGGCTGGGCCCCGCTGGCGGCGCCGCCCCTGGCGCGCTCCTCGGGCCCCTGGAGGCCAGGACACGGAGAAGCCAGGGCACGGAAAGCCGAGGGGACGACACCCTCGTCTGCAAAGTCGCAGGTTTCAGAGCCCGTGCGTGATCTGTGTGCTGCACCGCAGGAGATTGGGTTTGTGTCCTGGTTTAGGGGGGGGGTCCTGCAAGCTTATAGGGCCTGTGTCCAGGTTTCTTCTGGAAATGCTGCAGTGCTGTATTTTGCTCGTGCCGCCGTCTGGAAGAACTGGTTTCGAGGGATGTTGGGTGTCCGGGTCGAGCGTGTCTGTGTTTACGGGGCCCTGAGCTCCGCGCGCCAGGGAGGGGGGTCCTGCGCAGACCCAAGAAATCCGCGCGGAGCGCGAAGAGTGTGTGTGTTTGTGTCCTTTCTTCTTGTTCTGTGCAGGGAGGCCCGCTCACACTTCGGGGCCTGGTGCATCGTGTCGTCGCCGCTGATCCTCTCGCACGACGTGAACAGCGACGCGGTGATGGAGGAGATCTGGCCCATCATCTCCAACAGGGAGGCCATCGCTGTGAACCAGGCCTGGGCTGGCCACAGCGGGAGCCCCTTCAAGCAGTCGGCCACCAACATCACGCTGCCCGGCTTCGCGGACCAGACCAGGAAGCCCATCCTCGGCGACCACGGCGTGGCCAAGGGCAAGGAGACGCCGCTGCCGAGCTGGCATTTCTTCTACAAGCCGCTGGGCTCCGGGAGGGTCGCAGTCCTGCTGATGAGCCACACGGAGGCGGAGCAGTCTTTGACGGTCTCCTTCGCCGACGTGCCCGGCCTGTCTTGCTCCCGCTGCAGCGTGCGCGACGTCTGGCTGCGGGAGGACGCTGGCGTGCACGTCGACCAGTACACTGCGAGAGGCCTTCGGCCAGATGCCATGTGTCTGGAGGCCTCCTGACGGCTCCTGGAGGCTCGCTTGCCACGGGATGCCTTGCAACAGCTGCGCCTCGCCGAGGGCGTGTTCTGGGCGTGCCCGAGCCTTTCAGGAGGGGAGAAAACACACAGACACAATGAATCGTCGACTCTTAGGAAAATATTGAAAAATGTGTGAAGTGGGGGGAAGAAAACCCAGAAAATATTGGACAAAATTATCCCGGTAAAGCAACCTAACAGCGATGTGTAGGAGCATATCTGGAAGCATTCCCCTTAAGATTCAGATGAGAATCCAGTTATAGAATTCTGCTGTTCTCGCAGTCGTAGTCGCATTCGCGATAACAGTCGCAGTGGCAACGGCAGTCGCAGTCACAGCCTCAGCCTCAGCCTGCCTCAGCCTCAGCCTCAGCCTGCCTCAGCCTCAGCCTGCCTCAGCCTCAGCCTCAGCCTGCTTCAGCCTCAGCATCAGTCAGCCTCAGCCTCAGCCTCAGCCTGCCTCAGCCTCAGCCTGCCTCAGCCTCAGCCTCAGCCTGCCTCAGCCTCAGCCTCAGCCTGCCTTCAGCCTCGGCCTCTCAGCCTCCTCAGCCTCAGCCTGCATCAGCCTCAGTCTCAGCCTCAGCCTCAGCCTCAGCCTCAGCCTCAGCCTCAGCCTGCCTCAGCATCAGCCTGCCTCAGCCTCAGCCTCAGCCTGCCTCAGCCTCAGCCTCAGCCTCAGCCTCAGCCTGCTTCAGCCAAAGCCTCAGTCTGCCTTGAGCCTTGGCCTCAGCCTCAGCCTCAGCCTGCCTCAGCCTCAGCCTGCATCGGCCTCAGCCTCAGCCTCAGCCTGCCTCAGCATCAGCCTGCCTCAGCCTCAGCCTCAGCCTGCCTCAGCCTCAGCCTCAGCCTGCTTCAGCCTCAGCCTCAGTCTGCCTTCAGCCTCAGCCTCTGTGCCTCAGCCTGCCTCAGCCTCAGCCTGCCTCAGTATCAGCCTGCTTCAGCCTCAGCCTCAGCCTGCCTCAGCCTCAGCCTCAGCCTCACCCTCAGCCTCAGCCTCAGCCTGCCTCAGCCTCAGCCTGCCTCAGCCTCAGCCTCAGCCTGCTTCAGCCTCAGCCTCAGTCTGCCTTCAGCCTCGGCCTCAGCCTCAGCCTGCCTCAGCCTCAGCCTGCATCAGCCTCAGCCTCATCCTCAGCCTGCCTCAGCATCAGCCTGCCTCAGCCTCAGCCTCAGCCTTCCTCAGCCTCAGCCTCAGCCTGCTTCAGCCTCAGCCTCAGTCTGCCTTCAGCCTCGGCCTCAGCCTCAGTCTGCC